GATTATACGTGATGTACGTTTTTTAGGGGGTGGTTAATGAAAGTGTTCCAAAACGCGACATTAATTTCTTGACGACCTATTACTAAATTAACATAAATTAGTTAATAATGTTATTGGACAGGTATTTCAATTTTAATATAAAAACTACTAGCTCTAACTAAGCACATAGATAGATGAAAAGAGAAAGGATAGACAGATAAAGAAATAGTTAACTAGATAAAGAGAATGGACAGACGAACAGTTTAAAAGAAAGAAAGAAGATGGACGGATGAATAGATAGATAGATAGCGAGCTTTAATTTTATTTTAGTGACTAAAATTACTTGCTCTATTCAATATTCGCTGCAATACATTTAAAATAAAAGTTGCAGAAATTTTGGCTAGTTTGCTTTTTATGTAATTCCACAGGCAACAAATATTTTATTTAAAAAAAATGATTTGGATACAATAAAATGACAAAGAACTTGATTTCCCTAAAATAAGAGGGAAAAAAAAAGATTTTTTTATATAAACATAATTATCAATAAGAACTTTAGAGTGAAAATTTAAAAAAATATACAGTAGTGTGTCAAGCACACTATATCTGCTATATATAGTGCCGACGAGGCCTTTCGCACAATACCATGGCTCTTCAGCGACATAACAGACAGAATAGTGGCTGACATTATGTACATTAGCAAGCCGCTTGCCAACAACTGTTATAGTAATTAGGATAAAGATTATCTAAATAAAAACATTATTTATTTATTTAATCTGCTCAATATTTTGGAGAGCTGTTGAACCAGTAAGCTCGTCTTCTTGAACCTGGAATGGGTAAAACGACCACAGCAATCAATGGGAGAAGACTAAATTAAGTAATTATTAATAAGAACTGCTCAAAGTGATTACGTCAACCATCTTACCGTTCAACAAACGCAGGGTTTCTGCAGAAGAACTCCTTAGGGCATCTTCATAATGAGAACGTTTTTTAGCTTCCACTTCTAATTGCTCTTGAACTCTTCTACGTGAGCGTTTCTCTCTCCGTAACCGTTTTTGGTAAATAACTGGAAGTAATCAAGAACCTTACTGTAGATGATTACCTTATCTTCTTTTAACGAATCAAGATTTGACTTGCTAAAATTCCTTTGATTCCAATCATTCACGAAAAGATCGAATGTGTGTGTGTGTGTGTGTGGGATTAGTCCAGAGTAATTTATCTAGTACGTTGTTATTAGCTAGTAATGGGGATTAGCTAGCTAATAACAACTACTTAGTCCTGAAGTATAACTGATCTGAAGAAAGAACAACAGATGTACTATATAACGTCTATTGTTGAAAAGGGTTCACTAGCACGTTTATTACTGAAAAGGATCCATTAACACGTGTATTATTATTATTAAGGATGATCCATTAGAACATATGCTGTAGAAAATCATCCATTCGAGTGTTTACTGTTGAAATTGATCTAATTCATTGTGTATTGCTGAAGAAAACCCATTATAACGTTTATTATTGTTAAGGATGATCTATTAGAAGGTGACCCCTTAGAATGAGTACTGTTGAGGTTGATCTTATTCCTTGTTTATTACTGAAGATAATCCATTATACAATTTGTTTTCAACAGTACACACTCTAGTGTATTATTTTCTACAGCATATGTTATATTGGATCGTCGTTAATAATGTTGATCCAATTCATAGCGTATTACGAAGGGTAATCCATTATAAGGTTTATTATTATTAAGGGTGATCCATTAGAACATATCCTGTAAAAAAATGATTCATTAAATTATGTTCTGTTCAGATTAAGCCAGTTATTTGTGTGTTACTGAAGATAATCCATTATTAAGCAAGATCCATTACAACACATATTACTGATATGGTTCCACAGACTAACACGTATTTTACAATACTATTAATGACTGCATTACGATTAGTAACTAAAGATAACATCTGTATTATTGTAGCTAAAACTAGTACATCATTGAATATTATTAGACAGAAATAATTAAGTTGAAATATGTATATTTAATTCGTTACAATCAGCCCATATACCAGTCGGTTGAGAGACTTGCTGATATAACAGATTCACACTTTTCTGGAAAAATCAAAATTTAGATCGGGCAGAATTTTGAAACTAGTTACAATATTCTTATTGTATTTCGCTAGAAGTCACTTATGGTAATTTTTGTCTACAAAAAAAAAAAAGAAACAAAAACACGTTTTTTTCTTCTTGTACACAAATCTCAGTTTTCGTTTCACTAATTATTAAAGATGGGAATTTTCATTGTTTTATAAGTTTGTTTATCATCTGTCTCGATAAATTTTGTCTGAAGTTGTTTTGTTGTGCCTTTTGTCTGACGTTGTTTTGTTATGCCTCCTGCCATACATTCTATTTTGTTATGTTATTGCCATGCATTCTGTTTTGTTGTATCTTTTCGATAACACTGTTTTGTTATCCCTCCTGATATTCACTTTGGTTGGTTGTGACTTTTCGCTAACATTGTTTTGTTATGCCTTTTGACATACATTCTATTTTTTATGCTTTTTGGCATGTAAAGGTTTCGTTATACCTCTTGGCATGCATCGTTTTATTATGCCTATTAGATTAGATTATTTGGGGGGGGGGCACAACCCCTAGCTAACGCTTTGTTTTGGTGCGCCTAGAACTAACATTCTATGCTTCTGTTATATAATATTTAGGATTATATATTGTCTCAGTGTGGCTCTTAGTTTACATTTCAGTGTTTTCATATATATTTTGGTATCCAACGTGTTTACACGAGCCTCTTTGTTAACAGTTTAATATGTATCTTATTTTACATTATGGTTTCACCTGTATTTTGGTTTACAATGTGTTTACACAAGCCTCTTTGTCAACAGTTTAATATGTATCTTATTTTACATTATGGTTTCACCTGTATTTTGGTTTACAATGTGTTTACACAAGCCGTTGTTATCTTTTTAATATATGTCTGAGTTTACATTATGTTTTCCTATGTATCTTGACCTGTTCTGTTTAAACAAGGTTTTTTTTGTTTGTTTGATATACAACTTGATTTGGATATATTGTTTTGATATGTCTCTTGGGCTCCATAATGTTCTAGTTGTATCTCGGTTAATGTTCTGTTTTAATACATTTATTTTCCTTCACATTGATATTTACCTTTGTTAAGTATCAGCTTTTAATTATATAGTGTACAGTCTTTCTTAAAGAGGTTTATTTAATTTGAGATCATTTTACTCAAGAAAAATAAACTCAATAAATAAACTTGTTAGCATAATAACGCAACTTATAAATGTTCTTTAAACAAATACAGGTTTGAGTTATTTCTAAAAGTTTTCAATTCAACAAGGCTTTATTTTGGGGTTTATTCACCGCAATACCAGCTTGTTGAGTGTAACAGAATAACTTCGATTATTTTTTAGTGGCATTTTGAGCAGATAATTGAAGTGTTTCTAAGGACAAAGCTATTTTGGGGCAAACGTAAAGAAGACATCTCGGTCATTTAAGTGTATCTTTCTCAATTTCTTGGTGTAAGTCTAATGGCTACATCTGTTCCTCCATTTTTTATATACAATTTCTGAAAATGTCATTTCGGCTTCATTTGTATGCCCTCTTACGTCATGGAGGTTAAATTGGGGCAATGTTTCGGTAGCTCTCATGCACACACCTCAAGTTTTTTGGGCAAGATGGACGTCATTCCTAGCTTTAATCAGATCAGACCTACCAAACTCCACATCATACATCACGTGTATTAAACAGCTCAGGATATAAACGGCGATTTTCAAGGATGTCATATGAACTAACTACACTAACACTAGACACACAAGAAACATTTGTGAAGAATTATCTTATAAAAATCAAGACGTCATTTAGAGCACCTATCCTTTCTAATTGTATGCCTGCTATATCAGTAGCCAAATTAAATAAGATCAGAAAAAGTTTGGTTGCGTGTCAAAATCACAGTATATCAGTCAGAGATGTTTTGTCTTCCGCGAACACCTTTAGAGATTTTTAATTATTCGAAGAACAACGTTATGTTGTTATCGATGGCAAGCCAGTCTCTCCTGGAAAAGTCAGTTTCGCTCTTGTTAATAGCATTAAATCTACCACTAGTAATTCATACACCTATTATATAATACAGCCAAGTTCAACAGTTGCAATTTAGTGACGTCAAGTGACAAGAGAAGGCTAGTGGGGGAGTTCGAAGAAGCAGAAGTAGAATATCCAATTTCTGATGACCGCCGCACGGAATGTCATAGTGCATGTAATGGAAATACAAGCAAACTGAGACTGTGTTTGAGAGCTGTCATTGGAACTAAGCTCTTCCTCTATGAACGACCGACGTTCATTAAGCCCGAAGCCACAAGCTTTGCCCGATAAATTATGCAAAGAACAGGGAGTGGAGCACCAGGATAATGAGCCACCTAACCAAGGGAGTCGACTTGAAAATTCTTTCTTTAGACATTTATAGTGAGCCTAAATCACACGCCAAGCCCGCTCCGACGGTTGTGGCAATGACTGTTGCTTGCTTTCGGCGTCGACCACCTCAATCGAAACTTTATTTTTATTTACGAGATTCAATCATGTTTGTATTAGCATTTTACAGTCCCTCTCGTCCTCAGAGAAAGATTGGAATGAAATTTGAAGCGGACCAAGCAAACGAAAAACGTGCCTTGCCTTTACAAATTATGCCACTTATAAATTTTGAGAACAAACAGGGTAACGCCGCAGAAACCCCCGGTTGAGAAGCAATTTGGTAAAGATTTTGGAGGCTGACAGTGATTGTGGTGAATATTTCATTTTTAACTTTTCACTGTTCGGACTCTGGGGAAGAACAACTCATGGTGATGTCAAACAGACAGCTGTTAGAGCCTGTTTTCAGAAAGGAACGATATGAAGTTATAACAGGAAATGCGCTTTTTTTTCGGATTATTACACATAACTTTTTCACAAATACAGATACATATATCTACACACACTTCAAAACGTGTTATTGTTCCTTGGCTGTGCTCCTAAAACCCATGCCAGAAGATGGTGATGACAGTGTAACATTCGTCTTTAGATAAAATACTACACTTTTGAAAGAGTGATACGTTTTTTTGTGGTCTATTTACTCTGTGATAACCATAAGCCAAGTCTGCTAAATATGAAATCGTTCAAAATATTGTATGATATCGAACGGAAACTATTCATATTCTCGTCTACTTAAATCTGTCTCTAGAGAGTACGTGCAGATTCACTGCTGCAGCAATATGAATTCGTTTAGCACATCTGAGGTGGAAGGTGTAAATTTGCAATACAAAAACAAGTTAACGTTGCTAACTTACAATAACGTTCCTTTTTTATATAAACAGTATTTGTAGTGCCAATTCGTAAAATCGTAAAGAATTATTCAAGAAATTGTAGAAACAAAAAAAACTACATGAAG